CGCCCCGCGGAGCCACACTCGGGAGGCGCGAAGAGTTCTCTTAGGCCCGCTTGCCCCTCACCTGTGGGGCCTGCATTTGGAAGGACAGCACGTGCCCCACAGGGACCAACAGCCTTTGTGCCATGAGGGGCGTTAGGGGTGTTCCGAGCCGGGTCCTGCCCGTACTTTTCCCGTAATGCCCCTCGGATGCCTGCCCGCTCGCTGCCTACCGCCTGGTTGTTTTCTGGCCCTTGGCGTTTGGGTCTGGCCCTTCCTTTTGTAACCGTTTCCCCGACTCCATGGCCGGCTCTGCAGAAAGCCCTGGGTCGTCACAGATGAGCCGGATCGAGTGGTCAGGTGGACAACCTCCGCTCTCCTTCCGCCAAGGGCTGTTGTCTTGAGGGCCCGCCCCGGCCCACCAGCTTCCTGAGGACAGTCTGGTGGCTTTTTCCAGAGGTCCCTCCTTTAGTGTGTAGAAGACAGACAGTTTAGTTTCCCTGAAAGCGTCCCCCACGGAGAAGAGGTCTGTCTTCACTATCTCTGAACCGCTGCGCCTCAGCTGGCACATTTCAGGGCGTGTACATCTCGGCTCTGCGCGCGGGCCCTGCCGGGTGGCTCTGCCGGCCGAGGGCCAGCGTTGTGCTCTTTGTGCGCAGGGGAGGATTCGAAGAGGCTGTCAGGGCGGGACACCTTCTCTACCCAGTGACCATCTTACGGGCAGGCAGGGAGCAGGCCTTGGGCCGTACGTGTTTCCCGGGTCCCAGGGCAGTCACTGCTGTGCACTCTCTGTCTCCATCCTGTGATCCCTTCTGTCTCTCTTCCTGTCCCACCTCTTTCCCTCATCCGCTTACTCTGGTGGCAGTCTTTGCTCTGGTCTGCTCTCGGGCCTCGGCTCTCCCGGACCCCTGCCCCTGTCGCACACACTGTCCAGAAGCAGGCCTTAGGCTCCCCTGGCCCCCCTGAGCCCCACCCTGGCCTCCTGCCTCTTTGGCATAGGACCTGGGAGCTCATCCAAGGTGACCTCTTGCTTCGCGCCAGACCCACCCCTGAGATGAGACCCCACAGTGCGCTCACTTAACTCTCACCTCTGTCACTTAACTCTGGCCCGCGAGCGCTGCCTCTGATTCAGCTCGCTGGTGGGCACAGAATCACCCCTGCCGGGGCTCTCGGGCGGGGGGCAGCCCCGTGCGGTAGTGACTGCGTCTCACCGGCCTCCAGGCCGCCTCTGCTGCCCTGTGAGTCCCAGGCCAGGTCCCCATGCCTCAGGGGTTCCCAGCTCCCACCTGCTGCCTGCCCCTCACCCCAGAGCAGCCCTCAGCAGCCCTCTCTGTCCTTAGGCCACGAATGGCGGCAGCAGCGCCTTCAGCGACTACTCATCCTCAGTCCCCTCCACCCCCAGCGTCAGCCAGCGGGAGCTGCGCATCGAGACCGTGGCGGCCTCCTCCACCCCCACACCCGTCCGCAAGCAGTCCAAGCGGCGCTCCAACATCTTCACGGTATGTGCCCCGAGCCCTGCCCTGGCACCTGCCCGGCTGCCTTCACTGAGTAGGTGGGGCCCAGCCCCCAGCTGGGAGGGAGCAGGCAAGAACCGCAGACGGCCGGGCCACGGGGCAGCCCGAGTCAGGAAGATGCCACCCGCAGGCTCTCCATCCGCACAGACACACACAGCTTCCGTGGGCCCCTTACCAGGGCCCTCGCGCACATCCAGACTCTTCCAGATTGTTCTTCTGTGCCCACAAGGGCTTTCCCGCAGCGTATCCATACATACTGTCCTGCCTCCGCTGCATACACTCACCCCCTCTCCCTGACCCTTAGGTCTTCTGGGCCAGCTTAGCTTGAAGGATCTTTGGACGTGTCTGTCCTAACTCCCCGCTCCCCCCACCCCCTGCCCGACGCTCTTGATTCCACAGCTGTGAACCGAGCCCCCTAAGTTTTTGGCCCAAGGCCGCACGGAGATTAGCTGGTGGAGCCAGAATGGGGGGCTCAGGCCTCCTTGTCTGCACTCTGTTTTCTCCGTGACCTTACGCTTCCCGCCCGCGCCTGCGGGCCCCCCAAAGGCTTAGACAGCTTTCCCCAGGCCTCACCTCCCCACCTCCAGCCCTCAGTCAGGCTCCCGCCCTCACAGACCTCACACCAGGGACCTTCCACTGCCTTCCACTGCCAGGGGCCCAGCCCCGCAGCTCTTAGGTGCCCCCGGCATCTGAGACACAGTGCCCCCAGCCCCTTACCTCCAGCCAGGACTTGGCTGGGGTCATTCTGGGAGGCTTGGGTCAGACACAGGTGGCTGAGCTGCCCGTGTGGATTCTCAGGAGATCACTCTGTACTGCTGCGTCAGTCCGTGCGCCTCTTTCGGACCATCAGGGCTTGGTCCCCAGCCTGGTCCCGCGTCCGGCCGGCCGGGCAGGCCCCGCCAGGCTCTCGGGAGCCCCGCCCAGACAGAGCCAGTGCCCCCAGGCCTTGTTCATTCATTCTCGCCTCCGCCCGCCCGGCACACTGCCGCTCCCGGTGTGCCCCGGTCCGTCCGCCCTGTGCCTGCCGTGTGCCCCCTCCTTGTCCATGCCGACCAACCCTTCCTGCTGACAGCTGCCGCCGCATGGCACTTCCCCAGCCCCGACCCCGCCTAGACCTGAAGCTCTTTGTTTCTGTTCATGCCCATTGAGACACACAGAGCCCTGGGCTGCCTGCTTGTGCCCACGCCCGCTGCTGCCGCTGCCGTAGAGCCCTCGGGTGCCTGTGTTTGCAGTGACCGCCGTCTGCGCCCTTGGCATCTGCTGTCTGACACCCGCTCCCTCAGCACCATCCCGAACCTCCCACTTCCTCCGCTGCCAGGCCTGCAGCACCCCAGGGCACGCTCTCCTCCCTCTGCCCCCCCTTCTACCCACCGTCCGTGCGCAGCTCCCGGCCTCCTCGCCGCGGCCCCTCGTGCCCCCTGCCCTGTGCTCTCCGCTGCCTGCTCCGCTGTGCTGCCTCCGCCTGCCATCCTTGCTGCGCGCGCCCATGGCACAGCCTTCCCTCGGGCCCTTTCATTCTCTCCATCTTCACTGTGGCGACCTTAGTTTTTCTTTCCATTGTTTCCATGGTGACCTCCCTTGCGCCATTGTCCACGAGGAGGCCTCGAGGCATGTCTGTCTCCAGGAGTGCATCTCGGGACCTCCCCCTCTCATCGTTGCTGTTGGGGCCACCTCCTCGCCCTCATCGTCCTCCCCAGCAGAGCCACGCCTGCTCTGTGGCCTGGTGTCCTTGTGACCCGCCCCCCTGGATGTGGCCATCGATGTCCCCAGTCTCCCCCATGACTTCATGTACTCATTCTGTTGCCGCTCTTGCCCCGGTTCCCATCCTGGGCGGGGGGCGTGGGGCGGGGGCTGCCCCTCGGGGCTCCCAGGGATCCTCCGGTGGTTGGGGGGCCTCCTGGCTCACCAGCCTGGCTGGGGCAGGCTGCACCCCCCCCTCCCAACCAGCTCTTTGCTCCGGGGACCCGGTGGCGGCGGTCCCCATCCACCTTCCTCCTCCCTGGGCCAAAGGGGCAGAGGCCGTGGCGCCCAGGAGACGCCCCGGGCAGGTGCTGATGGTGGAGCTGCGGGCAGCAGCCTCTGGCCCGATTCTTTCTGCTCCCTCGGTTGACGCCCCCCCCCCCCCCCCCCCCCCCCCCACTCCGCGCTGCATTTGCAGTCCTGTGCCCTGTGTCCTCGGCTCCTGGCAGCCTGGGACAACAGGAGGGACAGGGGCCCCGGCTGCCCAGTGGCGAACATTCCCCGATGAGATGGACTGCCCAGCGGCCTCTGCCGCCACCGCCTCCTCCTCCTCCTCCTCCTCCTCTTCATCCCGCTGCCTCCTCTCCCCAGGCACCTGGGTCTCTGCCCTCACCAGTGCTGACCAACTCGTGCGGGGCTTGAGTATAACTTGCCAAAATCTTTATTCTTTCGATATTTGCAGATATGTGCCACTGTTTCCAACTTTTCATCAACAAAAAGGCCTTTCCAACTCCTTCCAAATTAGAAGACCAGGTGGTGACACACAGCACCTCTGGACATTCTCCCCTGTGCGGGGCCGGAGGCGGGCCGGGCCTTGGGACTGCTCTCAGATGAGAAGCGGCCGCCGTGCTCCCCACTCCAGAGACCCACAGGAACCTTTGTAACTAACCCCCACCCCCAGGGAAGGCTAGGAACGCTGGAGCCCGCGGCTGGGGGCTGCCGGGGGACCAGGCCCGGCTGGACGCGCTGCGCCAGGCTCGCTGCATGGAGAAGAAGGGAGCTCGGCCCCACGCCCGGCGCCCCGGGCCAGCGCAACGAGGCCCCCGAGGGGCGGGGGCGTCCGAGCGCCCGCCCCGGCCCAGCTGCTCCTGGGGGGAGCTTTCCCGCCCCTCCCTCCTCTGCTCCTTCCTGCATGGACTCCTGCCGTTCCTGCTCCGCTCCGGACGCCACGCCCACGCCGCGCGCGCTTGCCTTTCCCCCTCTTGGCCCCTCCCCGTTTCCTAGGATCCGCATTGGGGCGGGCTCTGCCCCAGGAGCCTGGCAGGGGCGCAGGGCCTCTTTTGGCCTCTCTCCTCTCTCTCTCCATCCACTGTGCCCCTCGGGCCTCGCCGACCGCGCTCGGTGCAACGTGCCGTGTGGTGTCTGTGCCGCAGACGGGCCCCTGCCCGCTCACTTCTGGACTTGGCTCTCCCCGGTTCTCGTGCCCTGTGCTCCCAGCCGTCCCTCAGCCCCACCGTCCACCTCTCCTCGCCCCTTCCCTTCTCTTACGCCCCAGCCCCCTGGGCTGCGCGCTCCTTGCGCCCTCGGTATTTCGTGTCCTTGCTCTTTTGTAAGGGGCGGGCCTGGCTCAGTGACCTGTGCTGCTCTGTATGGTGCCGTGTGTAAGAATAAACCCGTTGGAATACTCGTGGTCTCAGTTCCTTCCCGGTCCCGCCGCCCCGGCCCCGCCCCCACTGCTAGGGCCTGCCCAGGAGGAGGGAGGAGGGGAGGGCTGGGGAGTCCAGGCGGGCAGCTGTCCCCCGTGGGCCCTGCGCCCCTCTAACACGCCTCTTCTTTTCTCTTTCAGTCTCGAAAGGGTGCCGACTTGGACAGGGAGAAGAAAGCCGCCGACTGCAAGGTGGACAGCATCGGGAGCGGTCGGGCCATCCCCATCAAACAGGTCAGCAGTCCCTTCCCCTGTGGCCAGAGAGCAGTGGAGGTGAGGGATGAGGCCCAGGAAACGCTGGAGGGCGGCGCTCTTCAGCGCCTCTGGGGGCTGGCTGCTATAAGGCCAGCACTGCCCCTGCCGGGCCTGAATCCTCAACGAGAGAGCGGATCGCCTGTTGAGGGCAAACCCCCCT